GCGAGAGGGAAAGCCCCTCTTTAAACTCATCTGCCAGGTCCACCTGAGATCCCCACGAGCTCATTCTCCTCCGTGCCTCAGCAGCGGCGGGTCCTGAACCGCGGGAAGCAGATGGCTGCCCCTCTTTACTCGAAAAGAGAGACAAACGAGAACGGAGCTTTTTCATTGGAAAAAACTCACAATGCGCGCAGATTGCCCCCTCGAGGACATCGCGTGCGTGCTCTTCGCCCAAACAAACAACACATAGATCGTGTGTGTCATCTGGTGTCAAATAGCGATGACATGGATGCACACACCTTCTAAATGCTCTGCTAGTGCTCGCCATAATGAAAGAGATAGCTCTTACTTTTTTCCTTGGAAATGCACGCTTCAAACAGAACAGTCAATGAAGACGAAGAAGAGAATGATGTGTGCTCCCGGCGCCTATTTATACTATAGTCGCACTATAGGCCAACGAGTTGGTGTTTTTTCAATGTATGCTTCAGACACGGGTCACGACGAGGCGTCCCCCATAGCGACCCCTAGAGGACGCAGTTCGAAGTTCCCATGAAAGGGAACTTTGTGAACTCTTTTTAAGTCCATTCGTTCACCCTACATTAGCCTCATAGCAGGCAATGGACCACAGGGGGTACAGCACTCTGTTTGAACGCTGTGCACAGCTGTGAAGACACACACCAGCTGGACTCAATCGCAAAAGGAAACAACCTGTCTTAATACATTTCATTACAGTTTGGAATGATATTTGCCCGATGGAAATGATTTCATTTTCTTTATAAATAATGGTGGACACTTTAAATATATTCGTTTTTATTTTTTATTTCATTTTCACTTGCTTCTTTTTCCTACCATAAATAACCTCAAATGAATCAACACTTTATTCAGCTTCCAGTCAAGTCATTCATTCAGTAGTACAAATAAAAAGATTTTTAAAAAGTAACTCAAAAACAGTGATCACGCTGATTAAAATAAATGTATTTAATGTCAGTTTATTTTTGCGCTGTTAGTAGCACAATTCAAACACAGTTTAAAAAAAAAAAAGAATGAAAAGACACTCACCTCTGCAGCTTGATTATTAAAGTGTGCGGATGATCTTTGTAGAGTGCCGTGATGGTAAAGAACTTCAACAAGCAAAGTCAAAGATAGACAGAAGGTTATCGGAAGATATGAATGACCAGTACTTCATAAATAAACAAGTGGTGCTCGCTGCACAGCCAAATGGGAGGGGCTAGACCTCTAGCTCCCCCTCGCTGGATCTAGTGGGCGGGGCTTGAAGCGCTATCAAGCGCCACCATGTGGCTGTTAATGTTATTGCCAGTTCGACCGTAATGGAAGTAAATGCTTGTTTTGATGAGCAAGATGCTGGCATAGATAATATTGGCTTATTTTACTCTAATATTTGTCATGATTATGATTGATTTTTTTCATCATGGTCAGTATCGTTTCTGTGACAAACGGCATTACGTAAATACTTTTTTAAAATAATGCTTTATTGTCAACAAATAGCATGTACAATTCCATATCCCACTGTATTACGTAAATACTTGATAAGAACATTACTCACACTGTGTTTCTAACACCTTTTTAAATTTTGTATCTATGTAAACTTGTCATATTATTTTCTCCTTATTAGAATAGTTTCCTCACTTTTGAAGTTGCTTTGGATAAAAGCGTATGCTATATGATTATGTAAATTACTAGACTTAGCAGGCAATGTGAAAGCTTACTATCTGTGCACCCCTCTTTAATTTTTGGCCACCGCATTAACGTGTGGGTTATTTGTGAACTAAACTAAATCATCTGATTAATTGTAATAAATAATAATAATAATAAATAATAAAGTTAGACTAATTTATGTAATCTGCCCATTTTTGTATGTATATGTGAATGCATGAACTCCAACAGGCTGGTTGTAATTTTTTTTATTATATTGTAAATTTAAATGGAATATTGACTGTAATTTTAGATAGACTCAACCTTCATGCTCTGAGATTAGTGAGGCATCCTCTCCAACATTTGGGATAAGATAGATGTAATTTAATAGTCACATACTCCACTGTCCTACAAGTGATGCACTGGATTTATTTGTTTCTATTAACCCAAATTAGCAAAATGTGCATCTAAACATAAAATAAATCTTAAATCTAGATAAAATGTCATAATAAGAAGTCATAAAATAATATCATAAATATATTTCAAGAAGGTTGCTTCAGCCAGCCGCCACTCGTGTGGACTAAATGGCAATTTTTCAGGCTCCCTCAAGTTAGTATGTGTTGCCAGTCCTCTTGCAAAGTCGTATATGGCAATGTTTGGAAAGTGCTTCCAGCTAAGCAAAATGTCTGCATAGTCTCTGGGACTCTCTGCTCTTAAATTAAATTTTATGGAGTATACCACTGCACAGGGGCACATAACAACTGCCCAACCACCTATGGAAAACACATAATTTATGTAATAATAATGTACATAAACAATGTTTAATAACTGCTACAGATGAACTTGTATGCTTGAGAAACAAACATTACATTCTCCTGGCAGAAGGACTTTTTAACACTGTGGAGTAAACAGACGCAACTGCAGATCTAACTGCACAGAGAAAGATGCATCTTACCTGAAGCTCCCCAGACCTTCTCAAAGATCTTGTCGTAAGATGACCTGTTCTTCATTTCATCCTGCAGTCTTAGGATGAGGTCCATTTTTGAGCCTTTTGAGTCAAGGCCACATTGCTTGCACAGTTTTCGAACCATGTCCACCTATTATTTTAACAAGAAATAATATTTAGCTTAATTCAAACACAGTGAATTAATGATCAGTGTAACAAGCCTTTACTTTGAGATTAATTAGTGTATCTTGGAGCCTCTCCTCTGTCATTTGGAGATCTGCCATTTCAGTAGCCTGTCTTGGTGCATGAACCTTTTCATATTCTGTGTTAAAAACTTTGTCATCCCTTCTAGTTTTTGGTCCAATCCAAGGAGCCCAGTTGTTATAACTTGGAACAACCACAAAGGGGTTCTTTCGACCACCTTGAAATTGAAAAAAAAACCCTGCATAATTACAAAACACGTTTTTTTGGAAAAACCATGCAGCTGTAATCAATAACTCTGAGTAAATACAGGAACAGGAGCAGACATGTTAGTAACTTGGCCCACTAGATCCAGCGAGGGGGAGCTAGAGGTTTAGCCCCTCCCATTTGGCTCTGCAGCGAGCACCCTCTCAAAGACGCTGTTTTTGACTGTTGAGTAACATTATTATTGTCAATTCATGCACTTCTGCTTTCACTGTCCATTTTTTAACATGTACTGTACAGTACATGTCTCTCATGCTACTATACTGTCATGATAACAATAACAAGCAGAATTAGAGTTTAGCATCAGAGCTCTTGCTGTACAATCCTCAGAGGAAATGGGGAGAGACATTTCACCATGGGGATTCGCTGTAGAAACCCTTCACACTAAAATCCCAATCAGAATAATCAGACGGGTATGATGACGAGCAGTTAATTTGCAATCACTGTAATGGCAACTGACAGGTATTATACAATCATATTATTACACAAAACCAGTTCAGCAACATGAAATCTAAATGCGATGGCGCCGCAGACGGCAGCCTCAGTGTTTGGCTCTCCAGTGTTTGTACTGGTTTTGTTAGTTTTTCCTGGTTTTTGTTTCTCAAACACGATCAGTTTTACCAGGGATGAGCTGCTGAACATTCGGCAGAACACACCACACAATCTTCTACCGGATTTCGTTTATTCGGACGTTTTGCTGAACGTTGTAGTTGGCGAAGCTGCTGCGCTGATCACGCGCTTCAGGACGCGCAGACGAGGGAAGCGAGCCGGCGCACTTGTGAAGCTCAGGCAGCGCAGATTCAGAACGCCGTTACCCAGCATCCACATGGCGAACCTCCGCTCTCTACCCAACAAAACGGACGAACTTCTTCTGCACTCCCGGACAAATAAGGATTTTTCACACTCTGCTGCTCTGTGTTTCACAGAAACCTGGCTGAATGACGCCATACGCCAGCGCGGTTAAATCTGCCGGGCTTTCAGCTGTTCAGAGCGGACCGCGACGCAGAATCAACGGGG